TTGGACTAGAGCCCATTAAGCCCCCTGCTATCGTCACACCAGCCAACTAAAAGTGATTTATCACTGAATGAACCCATTATTTGGTTTTCCCCCAAATCACTGAGCATGAGATTGATTATGCTTCCAGAAGTTATTTTTCTTGAGGGCAATGTAAAACCCTATAAGTGTCATTAAGCCAAAAATACTGCAAACAGTAATGTTGCTTTTTACTGCCTCTCTTCATTTAACTATCCCCTTACAATGGAAAAAAAATTAAAACTCTGATTGCTATCAGGTTCTTCCAATCGATGGTGCTTTCATCCTGTGGAATTATGAGCTTGTTTTCCTGCAATTAGTTTGGTGTGAACCAACTCTATTAGCATAGCTCAGTGATTTCTTCTCCCTTTTCCTCCCAACAGATCCCTTGATCCGTGTTGTGTGCATAATTACCCATCAATGATTAGCTTCTCGGCTGAAGTGCACAACACCAGTAAGAGAGAAAGCTTTGCAACTTAATCAGTGTCAAACATCAGTAAATGAATGGATCCTCTCTTTTCATCTTATTGTTTTTAGAAAACACTATCTCAGTGGTAAACCAGGGATATTTCTCAACTTCTTAATCGCTTGTTTTAATGGACAGGGAGCAAGTTTAACTAACTGTTAACAATGAAGACACCGATTTTTACTTTAGTTATGAAAGAATTTGCCACACTAGTTCCAAATCCTCCAGCAGCACCCGCACAAAATCCAAGCAAGAATTTTAGGGTCAAAATCTTTTCCCCTCTTCCAAAAACTGTACAAAATTCTCATAGGTGACACTCTTTGGAAATTTTAGGAACATATCCATCTGGAAGTTGAACCCGAGGAGATCCACAACCTCCTGCAGTGACTAAATAACCCTTATAAGGAGAGGAATCTTAAGGTTTTCCTCCTGGACCTGATATTAGTGTAACCCAATGTGATGGGTAGATAGGCGTGATTTTGTTGTGGCTCTTATCTTGGTGTGGGAACATTAAAACAATACATGAGCATTAAAACAAAAAATCCAGTCCTGTAATCTGTTTTTCACTTATTGTCGGCTTTCAAGGCAACCACACTAATCTAAACTGCACTAAACTGACTGAAATATAATTCTTAGAAGTAGGCTAATGGTAGTTTCGCAAGAGCTTGAAGTAAAACTACTTTATCACAATAACTAACTAATTTTAAGGATGTACAACAGTTATTGGGAGTATAACTATGAAATAAGCAATGGTCATAATTTCAATGATTATATTTGACCAATTACCCCATTTCTTTAGATACAAACCATAGACATAAGGATGAAAGATTGACTCCCAACCTCCGAAAGGAAGAGGTAACTTATCTCCTGAAACAACTTCAATGCAGCACAAGGTGCAACTGTAGCCAGAGAACATGACGGCTGTAGTGTGGAACTTCCTTAGAGTTTCAGAGGAGGACAATATGAGGGCCTTGTGCAACAAATGTTTAAAGAAAGTTTCATAAGGAGGGAAACTCAGCACAACCTTTAACACGTCCAAATTAATCACTCTTCTTGAAAACAACTATTGTCTCATTGGAGTTATTGACACTGTATTAGTTGCACTGTTCAAGGTGTTAGCAACAAGCCAGCCTTCAAGAAGATCTCATCACTTGACTCACCTGGCAAGGCTTTTAAAAAACAGAAAGAAATTACCTGAGAGGACAAAAGGGCTAAAGCGACTGAAGACTTAATGGAAATTATGGTGCTTGACAAGCAGCCCTTCAACCTTCTCGGCTCATTAGCTGCATGGAGCTGCGGTTTATCATACTGAGTTATTGCTACTTTTCTGATGTGTGTTTTCCAGCTAAGTAGGATGCTGTCACAAAATGCTTTCATACTTTGATTGACAGCAAGAACATTGCAGTCAATCAAAGTATGAAAGAAATGTGAATATCGTTTCAAAATATATATTGACAATAGATATTTTACAATAAGATATTTCATAATAGATATTTTAAAACAGATATTTGGGCTTGAGATGTCAGCTCTCACATGTAAGCATGATCAGTATGCACAGCCATCGGGTACAGACTTTATACTATTCAGGTCTTTGCTGCAGTCTCAGGGGTTGCCCGGATCATACACAGGTACACTGATTTATCACACTCTCAAAGCTATGAAAAGAGGTGGAATAAGAGAAGGACTTTGTGCATGTTGTCCTTAAAGAATGCGTATAACCTAGCAAAGGCAATGGAGGAGTGCTGTGTTACAAGCATGGGTTAAATAGCCGCTTATTACATTTTAAAGATAGTTGGACATTTTAGGCAATCTCAAGAAGCGTCCACTGCCCTGGTAGAGGGCGGCTTCAAATGCTACAAATATTATTTTAAGAAATAACTAGATGGCAAAACAGCATATTTTTCAATCTAAGAGTGTGGTAGCACATAAACAAGGCATTGCAGCCTATGCAGTAGAATACAATTAGCCTGCACAGTCAATGTTCAGTAGTGGACTCAATGGTGCAATGCTGGAAAACATGCTGACTCTCCTTGATCCATGTGAACAGCTGATGAGAAACATCAGCAAGGCCACAGCCACAACTGTAGCTAGGCTTTGATGTGTCTGCTTAAGCAAAGTGTTCCAACAGACCAGGAAATGAAAACATCAAAGAACACTGGATTTGATTTGCAGTGTTTTGCAAATCAAATCCGGTGATTTGAGCATTGTTATCATAATCTTAAACTTTTGCTTAGACTTGGACAAACTTTATTTTGAATACACAGTGTATACCACATTAAATTTTGTTTTGTAAAGCTATCATGACATTTTCATTTCTTAAAGTTCAGCAGTGATCAAATGTAAACATTGTCTTAGTCTTTCTTATCTCCAGGTAGGTTATTGGTTAATCCTGATCTTTAGAAGGAGGAATTTATGCATCATCAATATCTAAAAATATTTTACAGTGTGGGAGCACGCAATGATACAGTGTGGTCAGATGTTTAACTCTTTAGCACAAGTTTTTACATCATTTCCCAAGGTGTGAAAGAAAATCTTGCATGTCAACCTCTGAAAGAGTATTGGTTAGGATGATCGGGCAATAGCAGCTATTACTGTTGAAGTGCCAATTTAAATTGCAACAGCAGTTTGTAGCTAGACATGTGGGCTCCAGGGCATTAGGAAAACAGGGAAATTGTCAGATGGGACAAGGATTGATCAAGGACTATATTAAGAGAAGTCATAATGAAGCTTTTGGACCTAAGGCCCCTATTCCAACATGCAGATCATTCCTAATGCTACTACCAGCATGCTGTGGTGCACTTCTACTGCCAATTGCAATTGTTTACTACAAAAACTTAATTGAATAGTTAAAAACAAGGACAACTTCTAACATCTTAAATTTTTCTCTAGCCAACAGTTATATTGTCAAGTAGGACAGGGTGCTAGCCCTGTCCAGGAATTACACATACTCTCACCCAAAGACTGATTGAGAAACCAAACATTCTCTTTGAGCCCCAGTTGGCCTCAGCCGATGGCTGCTCACATTGAGTCTGGTTCTGCTGGAGGTTTCTTGCTCTTAAAAGGGATTTTTTTCCTCTCCACTGTCACTACAAGCATGCTTAGTGTGAGGGATTGCCTTCCAGTCAATGAGTCAATGCAATCAATTGGTTTTCCTTAGATAGAAATCTTTGAATCAATTTGACTGTATGATCTGGTTAAATTGTAAAGTGTCTTGAGATTACATGTGTTTTGAATAATGTGGTGCTATATAAATAAACTGAATTGAAGTTGAATTGACTCTAATCTGTGGAAAGATGTATGGACCAATTAAAATAAACTTTTGTTTGAGGCTTTGCCTTTACATCCTTTGTCATGAGTGAACATTGAGTTTTGTGCAGAGGCTACACTTTGAAAGTAAAAGATAAACTTAATATTACCTTTGTTTATATTTCTGACTGTCTTATGCTTGTTTTTGTTTAATCTTTTTTTGTTTGTTTTATAGTGATGTATAGTGAAATACCCAAAAGCAGGAAGAAGGCAGGCAGGTGAGAACATTATCAAGAAAATAAAACTCTTAAAACCTACAACAAAAAGAAACTAAAACTAAAGTCATTCCAAAAAGTTAATAAATAAAACATAAGAATGCATTAAGGAATAAACCAGGTAAATAGCAGCATTATCAGACGCTGACAGTGGAAACCAAAAACTAAGCCTATTTATACTTGGTGCTTTAATTGTGGAATTCTAGACAGGTGAGTTAATGCATAGATTAAATACAGCCGGGGAGAGCAGAAAGCTAAGAAATAGAGAAGAAGTAACTGAACTAAGCCTTAACAAAATCTTTAAACCAAAGGACAAAAAAAACTAACACTTGGAGAACAAAATAAAAGAAGAACCAAGACAAAAAAAAAAAGTGCAAGAAAGTCAAAGAAATGTTTATGTTCATCCTTCAAACGACAAGGAAAAGCATTCCTGGTATTTACTGAATGTGAAAAAACACATAACAGACCAAAAGGTCATGACTCAAAGTTGTAAAAATTATAATACACTGCAAAAACGATCTAAAATTGACTAAAAATGTCTTAATTTAAATGTATTTGCCTTCAATTTGAGCAGTTAAATAAGATGATCTGCCAATGGAATGAGGATTTTTACTCTTAAAATAAGTATCAACTTAGATGATTAGATATTATGCACTTGAAATAAGAGACTGCAGTTGTTTTTTTCTTAATTTGAAAGTAAATTACCTTATTCCATTGACAAAGTGTATCACTTAATTGCTTAATTCAAGAAAAAAAATGCTCTTACTTTAAGAAAAATAAACTTACTTTTATTTCAGTTTTTTTGCAGTGTATACCCTTCTGCTTTTGATAAATAAATTATACTTTTTAAGTGCAGCCTGAGCAGAGAGCATCCCTCTCCATCACCTGCGCGAACTATCCGCGGACACTGAGGCTCTTTTCTCTCTCTCTCTTTCTCTCTCATCACTTCCTCGCCTGCCTCCCTCCAGTATCCCGGCTCCCTCTCCCCTCCTCTGCACCTGCTCCTCCCCTCCTGCCTTGCTTATTATCCTCAGACTCCGAGCTGCGCTCCGTCCTCGCCAAGTGATGCTACTCGGCGGCGCACATCCCTGCTTCGTCGATGCAGAGAGGACCGCCAAGGTTTGTTTTCTTCGGAGGAAAAACGCGCACTGAGCGGCCGAACATGGGAATCTATTAGGGGGGTTATGAGAGAGTGAGCCGGAGGAAGGAAGAAAGGAAGGACGACAAGGAGGCGCAGAGGTCCCATCAGAGAGCGGTGAAAGACTTGGAGGAACAGGGGGAGGAGGGAGGACTCCCTGGACGCAGGATGGTTTATCAGCCTCAAACAGTTTGATCAGGATTTTTGCGTTTGTGCGTTTGGGGTTAAATACTCGAAAGGGCAGATCGGAGTTACCTGGATCCATATCTGTTTGTGATGGAGTGAGAAAAAGAGCTCATTGTAAGTTCGGATCCGCCATGAAATCAGTGTTTTTCAGTCGTTTCTTTATTCTCTTGCCCTGGGTCCTTATTGTCATCATAATGATCGACATCGACAGTAAGAGGGCGATCCGGGCTCCGGTGCCTGGGCGCACGGGCAAGGCGCAGCGGATCCCCCGTGGTGGCTCAATTGGAGCCAGTGGAGCCCAGAACCAGTCATCTCTCCCCATCATCTACGCAATCACCCCCACCTACAGCCGGCCGGTGCAGAAAGCGGAGCTGACCCGGCTGGCCCACGCGTTCCGCCAAGTGCCCCGGCTTCACTGGATCGTTGTGGAGGACTCGACCTCGCGCACCGACCTGGTGACGCGCTTTCTGGCCCGTTGCGGAGTGACATACACACACCTGCACGTGTTCACTCCCCGCAGGTTCAAGCGCACCGGGATGCCACGCGCCACCGAGCAGAGGAACGCGGCTCTCGCGTGGCTCCGGCAGCACAGGAGCAGGAGGGACTCCGGGGTGGTTTTCTTCGCGGATGACGACAACACGTACAGCCTGGAGCTGTTCGAGGAGGTAACTTATCACCTTCATCCTTCAAAACCATAGAGGGAGTATGGCTGAGGAATGATGCTCTGATTTTAATAAAACATATCTATATATATTCACAGGTCCATCCCAGTAAGTTAGAATATGACATTTAATTAAATTGAAAAAGTGAGACTCATTTTATTGAGACATCCAGCGTTTTTATTTCCATTAAATTGTCACAAATACAGTGAAACGAAATGATTTCTCTGCAATTGACCCATCCCTTTTGGGGAGCAGTGGGCTGCCATTCGCAGCGCCTGAGGAGCAGTTTAGGGTCAAGGGTCTTTGCTCAGGGAGCCAGAGTGTCAGTCTGTGGGAGTGGGTTTAGAACTCACAACCTCAGGATTCATAGCTCTATGCCCTAACCACTAGGCAACCATTCCCCCACATCCAGGTCTGTGAGTAAAGTCAATTTTCAGGGAACTATTTCGGTTAAAAGCAGAAAGAAAAGCCTTCAAACCTTTTTTATAAGAGGCCAGCTTTGTGTTTTATCCGTGGAGAGATGAGTGAAAGGGGAAAGTGTGAAGAAAAAGGTGCAAAAATAACAGTAGGGAGGACCTGAGCGAACTGTGAAGCCAGGTTTAGAAGAACAGGACTAAGCTGGTGCATCTATTTTGAAATCAACGACAGAGAGATTGAAGGGAGGTGGAAAAACACTGAGTCAAATTAGGCTGCTTGAGATCCACTTTGAATTTTCCACCTTAATTATGTTTTATATATCATCTGCTAGTGGTGGACTGCTGTGTTGGTCCAAAGTCAGAGCGCCTGTCAACCCTTATGAAGATTTATCTTCCAGCAGGACTTGGCACCTGCCCACAGCTGGACATAATGCATGATTTTATTACCATAGTATGCCTGTGCTTTATTGGGCTGCAAACTGGCCTGACATAAAGCTCACAGAGATTCTATAGTATTGTAAAGAGGAAAATTACAGATGCCAGAGCCAAAAAAAGCATGAACTGGAGGCTGGTTTCAAAGCATCATGGGCTTCCTGCAGAACACCACGCTGATTGCCTCCATGTCTGCATTGATGTACAGCGTATTTATGCAAAAATGCAAAATATTTCACACCTTATATTGTGTCCATGTTAATGTTATAGGCACCACAAGCTGCAGCAGTCAGATAAACTTAATATTGAGTAAAGGCTAAGAACTTTTAGCTCTAAAGCTTTCATTTATCCTGCAGCATTATGCTTGTTGGCAATGTGTATAATTCACTGCATCGGACTGTCTGGGTATATTTCCATACATTGAGCTGCTGGGTATTTTCCTTATGATTCTGATGGAATTTCACTGGAAGCCTGCAGAGACGTTTTACTGACACACCCCATGTAAAGCTGGACTTCTTAATAATGCAGAATGTTCAGGGTGAAAAAAGGCAGATGGATTCTCCTCAAGCGTGAGAAGTTACTTTTAGAAAAAGATGTGGGAGTGCTGAGGACCAATGGAATGCTGAGGTGCTAATCTTTGTCTCAGGTGTTTTATCTATGATCTACAATAGTAACTAACTGGTAATTATTTTTAAATCATTCAGTCAGAAAAACATTTTTATTCCTGCTGACACTTTTGAAAATAAAAAAATCGGACTACTTTATATTCATTATTTCCTAACCTTGAATACAAATATTATAATTTCACCACTAATTCCTATAGATTTTTACATTTAAAACCTTACTTACTATTTTTCCAGAGCTACTGTAAGTTTTCTGAAGTCTTTTTTTTGCAGCTTGTGCCCTTTTCTAGTCACTTGACAACAAGACATTTACGAAGTTGGGTTTTATTATCTGCACCACCCACAAATCATGAGATATATGTTTGCTCTCAATTATACAGTTGGATGAAGGCTAATTATTAATAAATAAATACATTTAAAAAATAAACTAATCTACCACTCTGTTGCATCTGGCCCAACTTCGATGAATTTCATTTCAAAGCCTTAATCTCTGCAATTTTAGCCATCTTTTAAGACATCAAAATATTGAAAGCTTCAAATAAAATAAAAATATTTTAAATGCTACATGTTCAAGGGAAAGTTCTATATCAAACGGAGATTTTGGAAATTTCAATATTTGATTTTAGACTTTTATTTTGATATTAAAAATCTAATAAGAGTTCCCAGGGTGCATTTGTTGGAACCAAGTTATTGAAGGAAATGCTTCAAATTGAAACAAGTATCCCTCTCATACCATCTCAATTGCTTCTTCCTTGATTTTCCTGTTTTTAGTTACTCTCATTTGATCTTAAGAGGCTTTGTGAGATTGTCTGACATCTTTTTTATTATGCATGCCATGCCTCTGTACACCACAGGCTGTAGGACTAAACACATTTTAGCTCAAATCTTTATGATCATATGTGGGGCATCTTGTAAGCCGCCTCTGCAAATGAATCCCAACAGTGAATATTATTTCCTTATCTTGCAAATGGCTTAAATATCTGAACAACTTAACATACACTGAAACACACTGACCATTTGCAGACTGCAAGTGAAAACTCATTATGTGTCCATATATTGATCCTGCTTACTGGCAAACTGACATCAGCATGTAAACAGCTCTGCATCTCACAACAGTGTTCATGGGATGCATGTTTATATGCCGTTGTGTGCACTGCCGGGGAGGATTGTGTTGTTATGCCGTCAGTCGACAAAGCTCCTTGCTTGTAGGTGATGAGGTGGGGTCTAAAAGCTGCATCAGATGCAACAAAACAATCTTCACGCTCTTGTGGTTGTATAATCTAGAAGAATGAGGTTGATTGCTGATTGCTCCTTGCTCTGATTGCTGCTTTTCAGCGAAGGCTGTCTCTGAATGTGAAACAGCTTTCCTCATTCGGATCCACACTCACTGAGATTTCTTTCTTTTTTTTTTTTTTTTTAGATAAATAGGCTTTTAAAGTTAATTTGTTACATTTACTGCTGTTTTTATATCCTTTCATTGCCTGTTGCTGTGGTGAAAAAGCAAAGATGTATTCAGATACAGTTGATTTGATTTTCGGCTCCCTGAGTTTAAGATTTAAAGGATTAGATCACCCTTTGAGAAACCCACATTTTCAATACCTTTTAACTTTGCAACCACCTTCAACTATACTCTCAAAACAAATAATTAACAAATATTAATGCACTGACAAAACAGTGGCGTTAATGGTTGCAGATTTTTTATTTGTGGTTAGGGTTGTGGTGCTGTTTGGTTAGGGAAATCGGTTTATGTGTATTTTATGGATGACAAACACATTATTAGTTGAAGCTTCCCAAGTGTTTTAATAGGATTATGCTAATTTGGCACATCGAGAAGGAAAAATCACATCCACATGATCTTGCAGTACTTTTGATCAGGAGCTATACATGAATCAATTCATTTAAACCATACGTCAAAATCATAACCAGTGTAGGATAACCTGGTTTGGTCAAATTAAGTGTTGATTTACCCAATTACTAAAGATGTAAGCGAATCATATAATCTTTTGTAAAGATGAGAGTCACTTTCATCAGGTTGTTAAGTTTCAAGCAGTTCCACCTTTTGAACATGCATCTCGCAAGAGTGGAAAGGTAAGACTCCCCTTTACCTGGAAGAAAACTCTATCAGATCTTAATATGAGCTGTCATCTGCAGCAGAACGCTTAGTGTTTAGAAGAAAGACAGCTAGCAAATATAAGAAAACAGACACTGAGTCTAGGGTACTTTCTATTTGGGAAGGAAAACAATAGGAGTGTGGAATTAATAAAATTAGCACAGTCATTGGTTTTCCTCAAGAAAGAGACATAAGCAAACACAGAAGCTCTGTAAATAGGGCTTCTTTCTGTGGAAAAGGAACAAAGTGCACCAAATGAATTGAAATGAAATTGTTAAACAAGGAAAAACTGAGCGAAGGGTTTTTTCTATGGGATAGACAAAGTATAGAAAGGGGTAATGGAAATGATTCCTCTGCCAATAGCTTCACCCAGTGGTTTAAATATGATAATCGCAAGTTTTCTCTCATGTGTTTTTGTGGACAGTGTTTGTAAAATTACAAAGGCATTGGTTTATTCAAACTAAATTATAAATAACTCTAAATATTTTTATCTCATACAGTTAACTAAAAGGGACTTAAGTTATAAATAAGAGCAACACACACACATACTGATGTTAACTGAAAAACAAGAGCAAGGCTAATATTCTGCTACTCTGGTAATAAATGTTTTATTTAGTGCAAAGACGCACATTAAACCTGAAATAATATGTCGAAGGATTCCCATTGAAAGGACTAATAGACCTGCACTGTTTGTATTCATGAACCCAGTTTGTTTTTGTGTTATAGAGGAATATTATGAGAAAACAATATGCCACGTGGGTTAATGATTTCCCATCAATTTAATTTGCAAGGCATTTGACAATCTGTAAATTGAACTATGCTTTCACATTCTGGAATGATTGTTTTATTATAATTTCAGCCCCATCTATCCTGCCTTCACTGCAAAGTTCATGAACGATCGATAAATCCAGTCAATTACCGTTAGCTTTACCTGGACGCATGTTGCTTCCCTGAATGCAGCCCTTGGGTAGAAATTCTCATCATCTTCCACATACAGAGTGCTGCAACATAGTCAACTGTGACACAGAGTGCTGTTATATTCGGTGGCTGCGGATTAGTTTAAAGAGCATCTGTTTGATTTGTTGATAGCACAGTGTCTCCCCCGTGCCCCCCTTCCTATTTCATTACCCTGCTCCTGTGTGCAGGTAATGACCTGTCATAGAATGATAATAGGCTGTCACATGGTGGTAATAACTGCAGAGACTGTTTGGCAGCCTGTAGACTGATAAGAGTAACTTCGCTTGCAAGTGGGAGGCAACCTTCCATTAAAAGCTCTTATCATGTTCAGAAGGCAAGAACTTGGGAAATATTTAAACATCCAAACTACTAAGCATAACTATTTGTGAGTCATTGAGTCTTTAATGGTGTTGACAGCTGTTGCAGATCTTGTAAACCCATGACTATTGTGAATATTTGCCCCCT